GTTTCAGAAAAGAAGCATTCAAAGAAGAGAAAATCCCATTCCCCTAAGAAAGACTTCAGAAGGGGGTACAGTCACCTCTTAAAACTGGACTCAAGGAGACCGCGCATCCTAATATAGCAGGGGTGGGCAAACTTTTTGGCCCAAGGGCCACATCTGTGTATGGAAATTGTATGGCAGGCCATGAATGCTCACGAAATTGGGGTTGGGGTCAGGAGGGGATGAGGGCTCCGGTTGAGAGTGTGGGCTCTGGGGTGGGGCCAGAAATGAGGAGTTCAGGATGCGGGAGGGGGCTCCAGGCTGGGGCAGGAGGTTGGAGTACAGGGGGGAGGGTGTGAGGGCTCTGACTGGGGGTGCAGGCTGTGGAGTGGGCCTGGGGATGAGGGGTTTGGGGTGCAGGAGGGTGCTCCGGGCTGGGATCAAAGGGTTCGGAGGGTGGGAGGGGGGTCAGGGCTGGGGCAAGGTGTTGGGGCACGGGAGGGGCTCAGGGGTTCAGGCTCCGGGTGATGCTTACCTCAAGCAGCTCCCGGAAGCAGCGGCATGTCCGCCTTCTGGATCCTATGCGGAGACGCGGCCAGGCATCTCTGTGCACCTCCCTATATGCAGGCACCACCCCTGCAGCTCCCATTGGCTGCAGTTCCCGGCCAATGGGAGCTGCAAGGGCAGCGCTTGGGGTGGGGGGAGCACACGGAGACGCCTGGCTGCCCCTAAACGTAGGAGCCGGAGTGGGAACATGCCGCTGCTTCCAGGAGCTGTGCGGAGCTGCGGCATGTGCACACAGAGCGGCCCCCGACCACACTCCCCGGCTGGAGCACGGGAGCAGGACAAGCCCCAGACCCTGCTCCCCAGCAGGAGCTCAAGGGCCGGATTAAATCAGCTGGTGGGCCAGATGTGGCCCGCGGGCGGTAGTTTGCCCACCACTGTATTATAGGTACTGCTGAGGCTCCTGCGGGCCTTGGTACCCAAGAGTTGGCACCTCCCAAAAAGACATCCCATTCCAAGAGCTCTTCCAGTAAACAGCACTGAGAGGCCCCATCCTCGGTACTGGGAGCAGACACCAATAGGCACAGTAAGTCATCTAAGATTAAGGACTCTAGAACAGTGTTTCTCAGCCTTTTTTAAACCAGGAACTGGCTTGCTGCCTTTCAAAACTGTGTCAGGCAGATCTCAGGGACCAGTGCCGGTCCACGGACCGGTTTTTGAGAAACACTACTCTAGAAAAGCTGCCTCGAAGGCATCAGTATTGCTACCTTCTCACAGCTACAGAACGTTCAGACTGGCTTCCATCTGTCTCCAGTACCATCCTCCTCAGTATGCATCAGATCAGAGCACAGGGACAACGGTCTCTGCAGGACAGGGTCTAGCCCTGATACCAGCTATGGCCCTGGCTCCTCCTGTCCTCTACCTTAACCCACTGTTACTGTCCAGGTTCCTCTCCTATGAGGATCTTCTCATCTCAGAAGAACTGGAATCTCCCCTCTTAAGGGGCACTGAGAGAGGTTCTTCCCCAGTACCATTACACCAGCCAGTGACCAACCCTCCTTTCTCTGGAGCAGGATCCAGACCGCCGGTACTCACCCATCTTCCAGTATCACTACCGGTACCAATGCCTGGAGCCCCTCTACTGGACATGGGTGGAATGATACCACCTCAGATTCTGAGATTTCTGTGCAGGGCTCTGCCTCCCTTCCATAACATCCCACACCATTGGAGCTGTTTCCCAAGGAGGACATGCCAGAGATCAGAGGACGCTCCTGGCAGGACTATCCCTCGGGACCCTTTCCTTACCCACCATCACAGTGGGCCTATGGGAAACCTTGGACTCCCTATGGAGACCAGTTTTATAGAGTACCCTCTCATAAGAGACCTCACTAAGAGCACCTACCAGTATCACAATGGCCTCTGGTTCTACAAGTTCAGTCACCTATACTGCTCCTTTCCCCTGCCCAGGAGGAGACTCAGGAGGAACAGGAGCCGACAGCTGAGGAGGAGACACCCCCGTCATAAAAATCCTCCTCTTTCCATGATAAGGTGATGATGTCAGCACCACCCTTCTACAGGTTGATTTCAGGGCGATTCAGAACCTAATGAAACAACTGGATGAATCCCCCTAAATTCCACTGAAGGAAGTTAAGGAAATGCAATGTTCCCTGATAGACATTCTGCCCTCCAGAACAAGGTCACCTTGCCTATTAATAAGGCATTATTGTCACCAGCCCATACTGTATGGCAGACACCTGCCACCATTGCACCCACATGCAAATGGCCAGATACAAAAATTACATTCTAGCGAGGGGACTCAAATAATTTTTTCTCTCACCCCACCCCCAATTCCTTGATGGACACAGTCATTGAGAGAAACCAACAAGTTCTCTCCAGTCCACACCCTTGGTCAAGGAGTCTAAGCACTTAGACCTTTTGGGTCAGAAAAGCTATTCATCCATTGCTTTTCAGTTTCAGGTTGCGAACTACCAGATCTTGATGGCAAAATATGATTTCAACTGTTATTCTAAGTTTACTCATTTTATTGAATACCTGCCACAAGACCAGAGAGAACAATTTTGAGCATTCATTTCAGAGGGTCAGTTAATCATTAAAGCTTCCCATCTCTGCTGGTCTCCTTCAACGCTGCCAACACAGCCTCACGGTCCATGGCAACCACAGTAGTTATGCGGCAAGCCTCCTGGCTACAATCTTCTGATCTCACCAACAAAGTTCAGAATACTGTTGAAGACCTCCCCTTTGAAAGGCCTAAGCTCTTCATTGGCGATACTGACACCTTGATATCCACTCCCTCAAAGATGCCAAGGCAATGCTTCATTCTCTTGGAATTTATACACCTGGAACAAAGGTATTTCAGCAAATCAGACAGTTTAACGCTCTTGACCCTTTCAGTACCAATAGTCCAGGGTTTATACAAGCTATCCAGGGTTGTCCCCTGCATCCCACCCGAGGAGCCAAGTTGAAGCAAGAGCAAGCAGTGTCTATACTGATAGTATCTGAGTGGCTGAGACAAGTGTGGTTCCCGGAGCTGCTTCACCGCTCTCTGACAATGCCTCAATGTCTTCCTCTCATACCAGATTTCCTGACACAGGATGTGGGCATCATAACTCACCTCAGGCTGCTCTCAAGAAATGCAGCCCATGCTCTTGAGCAGTAGAAAGCCAGCCACATGCAAAGCCTGCCTGCAAAAGTGGAAACACTTCCACCTCTGGTGCTCTTTCCATTCTATACCCTCTTTGGAATCTCCCCTCTTGAAGGTTCTTGATTAACTATTGGACTTGAAGGTGCAAGGACTCTCTAGAGATCCATTAGAGTGCACCTGGCCACTATTACAACTTTTCACTCACCCATTGAACATTTTTCACTCTTCACCCATCCTACCATAGCCAGGCTCCTTAGAGGCTTATCCAATCTGTTTCCTCATGTTAGGAATTTCACACTATCATGGGACCTTAACCCGGTCCTCAGTGCCGTGAGGAACCTTCCATTTAAACCAATGGATAGCTGTTCACTACTTAGTCATCACTTCAGCCAGGAGGATAGGGGAACTAGGAGCACTCATGGCCAACCTGCCCCACACCATCTTTTACTGTGACAAGCCTTTGTTACACCCCCATCCTTGTTGTCGGCCAAAGTTCTCGTCAGAGTTCCATATCAATCAAGACAGCCATTTCTGTGTTTTATCCTAAGCCCCACACCTTGAAAGAGGAGGCTAATCTCCATACCTTAGATGTTAGAAGGGTGCTTGCCTTCTGTCTTGACAGGACAAAGACTTTCAGGGCTTTCCCCCAACTATTTGTTTCTTTCATTGAAAGGTTGAAGGAACAGCCAAGCTCTACTCAGAGACTGTCAAAGTGGGTTTCAGGTTGCATTGTAGCCTGCTATGAAGCTGTTGGGGTGCATCCCCTACCTAAAGTAACAGCCAACTCCACCAGGGCTCAGTCCATGTCCATAGCCCTTCTTAAAGGCATTCCCATCATGGAGATCTGCAGGGTCACAATCTGATCCTTAGCTAACGTCTCTAAGCATTACTCCATCCTAACTGCTTCCAGGACTGATACAGCCCTCAGTGATGCTGTCCTCCAAACCATCTTGGATCTACCTTTTCAGCACCTGCATCCATCTTGAATTACTGCTTAGGAGTCTCCTATAGTGGAGCACCCATAAGAACAATAACTTGAAAAAGGAGAGGTTACTTACCTATACAGTAACTTGAGTTCTTTGAGATGGATTGTCCTCCCTCCCCTCTGCTGCAGAGTCTAGAAGACTTCATGGTTGAGAAGGTACTGGAGAGGCAGTGGGTCTGCCCCTTCCTAAATGCCCTGATCCTGAAGCACAAAGTGTATAGTGCACAGACATGGACCTACAGACATTGCTAATAAAAGTCTCCAGTCAAAAGTGAAAAGGCATGCACATATCCTACAATGGAGCACCCATAGGGACAAATCATCGAAAACAACTCAAATTACTGTACAGGTAAGTAACCTCTCCTTTTCTGTGCTCAAGAGTCTTTTCTAGTGCTTGACAACATCATTGTTCCTGTGGGAAATAGCAGTCGGGGGGGGGGGTCGTATTCAGGGAGAGAGATGCAATCTTTCAGATAGCTAGGGCCAATCCCATGATTAAACCTGACTTTATTCCATTGGGGTTTAGGCAGAAGGCGGAGTAGCTATGCAGAGCTTTTTTTACAGTAAGCCTATTTGTTAGCTCTTGTATCTTTCTCTGAAGAAGTTCCTGATCTGATTAGCGAATTAAGAATGATGTAAAACTCACGGAAACATAGGCATCTGTTAGCATCAAGTTGCTAAATGTCTTGCATCAGATATTTATATGAAGCCTAATAGAAAACCATGTATTGCATTGTGTTTTCATGTGTGTTTTCTCCTTGGGTTTTAATCTCTAATGAATTCCCCCAAAATGCATTTCCCTATTCTTAACTGTTAAGAGCTTTAGCTGTGGCTGAGAATCCCAGTTGGTCTGAGTCTGGTTTGTTTTTGCAGAGCTGGGAGTTTGGAATCCCACTGTGCAGAGAGCTGGCCATTCAGTATGAAAGTCTGTATGATTATCAAAGCCTCAGCTGGATTCGGGTAAGTGAAACCAGCCCTTCTCCCTCCAAACTCTTTATCCATTCCTTAGTGATTACTGCTGACGTGTCAGAGAAGCTTGAATTAAAAAACAAACATACTGCTCCTCACACAGTTAGGATGGCTCCTTTCTGAGTATGTCATTTTCCCCCCTCTGCCAAGATTACAGATCTGTTCCTGCAACCTTTACTAACAAATAGACATAACTCTCCCAAATAGGCTCATTGAAGTAACTTCTGATCCTGCCAGCTGTAATTACCAATAAATATATGGACAACAGTTAAATATATAAATATGAATTATGCTCACAAGCACAAAATATATACATATATATTTGTATTACTGCATTAAATTTGATTTATTTATATATTTTCTTTATTGGCAGCCAAATTGGTCTCCCCCTCAGTGCTATGGTTTTATATCAAATTTATTCTAAGGGCAGCAAGAGTAACATGTCAGTCTAGGCTTATGAGAAGATAAAGAGAGATAAATAGAATGCAAAGCACAGTGAAGTTCATGGTATTCCTGCCAATCATGTCGATTCTCTCATAAAAGCGAGTAATTAATTGTCAAGGTGAATTTGTGTCATCGCTGCTTTTATCAGATAATCTTAACCAAGGCATCAATAAGGATTTTAAACTCTATAGTTCATCCAATCTGTTTTATGTCCATAAAATATCAAGTATTACACTAAAATAAAAAGTGCCATATATTTGTGAATTGAGTCTCAGGTTGATCAGCACACCTGTCCAAGGATGAAGCTCAATTCAGTATTGTATCATTATTCTAAAACTGCATCAGTAAATTAGTTATTTTTGTGTTTCCTCATTGGTTGGGTTTAATCAGTCAGGTGAAAAAATCTTGACTAGTCAGTAACAGCCATTCACCTGATTCTTATTCTCATCTCTTCTGTTTAAAAAAATCTGTTTTCTGTTCAGGTTTCTTAAATCTGTATTAGACATGAATTTCTTTGATGAGTTTCTCCCCATCTTCCCCTCCCCCCCAGTTTCTGTCTCTCTCCTTCATTCTATTTCCACATTATTCTGTCTGTTCATTTATTCTACCTGTAATGTTTTGAGGCTAAAGCCACTTCTTCAGAAGAAGGGTTAATGTATGCAGGAACCAAGAACCTTGGCTCAGAGTTCTGTGTCTGGGCCAAAGTTGCGATTAGGTTCCCCTGCACTGGAGGCTAGGATTCCAAACTGGATTCCTCTCTCAAAAAAAGTCACCACTGTTAATAGTGAACTTGCTGTGAGCATTTTTGAGCTTTGAGTTGCATGTGGCCCAGCTGGACAATGGGGTCTGAGAGCCTGCTTTTGGGACAGACCAGCATACTATCAGTAGAAAAGTACCTTCTCCTTCCCGCAAATCATTTTTTTCCTTCTTCCTGTTAAACTTATGGATGTCCAGAATTCCAGATAGTCTAATCCAACTCTACTTCCTGCCCTTTCCTGCCCTTTGGTTCACTGTTTAACCTGTGGGAGATAATATGGTTAAAACAGGAGACTGGGAGACTGGGATTCAGGAGATCTAGATTTTAATCCCAATAGTTGCCACTAACTAATTCTGAAACCCATAATTCTAATTCCCATAAAATTTAATGTAAAATGGGGATAATTAAACTTACCCATTTCCCAGGAGTTTTGTTTAATTACTGTAATGTTTAAGTGTTTTGAAATCCTTACATAACAGGCACTACGTAAATGCAAAGTATTATTATGAGGTTCTAATGTGGATTGAGATTCTGAAACAGTAGCAGGAACTTTGAGTTAGATATCAACTGCTTTTTCCGTCCACAGAAAATGGAAGCTACCTATTATGATAACATCATGGAACAGCAGCGCTTGGAACCTGAGTTTTTCAGAGTTGGTTTTTATGGCCGGAAATTCCCCTTCTTCCTTCGGGTAAGGCAGTTCAGAAGAAAGTGCAACATATCAACCATATGTTTTTTGTGGGAGAGAGGAATGTTGTGAATGTTGAGTGTTAAAAATAAGGTTTTGCTTTGAAAGGGATAGAACTGATTGATCCAGCTCAGAGACTTTTTTGTGTCATTTCCACTGGGCTATTTGCTGCCCTCAAACTCTGTGCTTTAATATTTTGTATTGTTTTGTAACTATCAGGAACAACCAAGGGTAGTTTTATCAACACCAACCATTTTGGAAACTTACAGCTGATTTTTGTTTATGTAATAAACACAGAGATCTGTAAAACATCAAACCATGGTGGCAAGTTGGCCATGTTTCACACTGATTGGTGTAAGATGTGTCAGGTCTTGGCATGTAATCTCTCTTGCTTCCTACAGTGAGAAATGGATAGCTTGTTATATCTGTTCCCGTAAAGCCAGCTTACTGGGTAAACTAAAGGAACTGGACCATTGGTAATAATTCATGGTGAAGACACAGAGGGGTGGATTTTCAGGTGCACAGATTTGCAAGCTCATATCAGGAGTTTTGATACATGCAAGTTTGTGCATGTGAAAAGTCTTATCCAGACCCAACAGCATTTCTTTCTCTCCATTCAGCACAGCACCCTGTTGCAGCAATTCTGGCTGTAGTACATTACAAACTTCCATTTTTTCATGTCACATCATACTTACAAGGTCTCAAATGACGTTCAGAGCCTAATATCAACTTGGTGACTCTTCTAGGCAGCTTTTACACTGGAATTTTCAGACATGTTCAGCCACAGCTGTAAAACACAGCCCCTCGTCTACATAAATTGGTGTCAATCCTCATTGTCCACTGGTCTATACATGATCAACTGGGTTTAATAACTATTGTTTTAAAAGAGTGGTTGACTCCTTTTTTCTAATAGGGAATCAACACTAAAAGCCTAGCCTAGGAAAATGAAGGCTCTGAGTGGATATGATTGCGCTCTATAAATATATCTGGGAAGTAAACACCAGAAAGGGAGAAGTGCTATTTAAACTAAAAGATAATGCTTATAAGAACAAGTGGTTATAAACTGACTGTGAATAAATTTAGGCTGGAAATTAGAGGAAGGTTTCTAAGCATCAGAAAAGTGAGAATCTAGAGCAGCCCCTGATAGAAGTAGTGGGGATAAACAACCTAACTGATTTTAAGATGGAACTTGATAACCTTATGAATGAGATTATATGATTGGGTTGCCTGTGATAGCAGGGGACTGGACTTGATGACCCAGAAGGTCCCTTCCAGTCCTGTGTCCCTAAAATGGGTGTTGCTGATTATCGTTTGACACCTCATATAAAACTTACTTGTCTGACAATTCTAGTGTAGGTAGAGCCCTAGCCGACTACATTGACAAGTTAAACTAACTTGAGACAACTAGAACTCCAGATTTCTGGTTTTCTTCAAGGGAAGGTGTGACGAGATTGTAACCAATTCTGTGGGGCATAGGAGGAAGGGAGGACAGAGCCTGCAATGGTGAGAGTGTGTGGGTGCTTTGTTAGTAATGTATATATTTTTAAGGTTTCCCAATTTTAAAAAATTAAGTTACCAGTACTTTGAAGGGAGTTTTAAAATTTAAATTCTGGTGTATAGGTAATTTTTTAAAAAGTGTGTTTTATGGAGAAACTTGAAGGGGATGGAGGCATTTTGGAATAGGTCAGCAACAGAGGTGCCCACTGGTGGAGGACAGCATAGAACAAGGGACAGACATGAGAGGCATGAAAGAATCAAAAGGGCAGTTAGGCAAACAGTTTGGATGGAGGAAAGGGAGCTGGAGCAAAATAGAAAGACTAGATTAGAAAGTTAAGCCAAAGCTAAGATGTGCAAAGCCTGTGTCAATTAGCTTGGTTCTGATGTGGAATGTGAGTGGGAGTGGGTAAAGAGATCAAAAGAGATGACAAATCTTACAAGAGTGAACATAAAACAAAAATTTAAGGACTGGAATATCAGGGGTGCTCAAACCCTGATAACCTACAGAATCTTACATGATAAAAATGATTTGTCAGGGTCAAAAAAAACAAACAGAAAAGCATAACCATATCCAGTACTTCAACTGTGAAAGGCAAAATGTAGAAGAAACCAGTATCAACACATATGGAGATTTCCAGAGGAAATTATCTCAGTTTCACCTTTTGTATCTGTCAGTGGAAATTTCAGAACATGAACAATAAAAACTAATCAGTATAGCAGAGGAAGAGATCCTAAGGTCTGTAGTTCCTATAAGTGAACCTAGCCTGCTTTTCAGTTGTGGACATACAGCTGCATCTTGGATAGTAAGTGACCCGGCCTGTATGTTTAAGAATATGCATGAGTTTTCGGTGGTACAACAATTACTCTTGATTAAATTGTATAAGAATGTGGGAATTGCTGCTAGTGACAGTAACAGCAAATACACTGTATATAATTATAATCTCCATTAATTCTGTAATTATATTCCATAGCAGTGTTTCTGATAGTAGAGTGGGAATTAATAGTGTAACAACCTCAATAAATTCCCTCTTTCTCTCTTAATGACCGATAGTGTACAGACACTTCAGAAACTGAGTCCGTTAGCTGACGTATCTGCATGGATCATATAGTTACATGGTTGATTAATGTTAGCCAAAAGCAGTCATAGTCAGACCTCCCACTACCACAGATGAGGTTCCAGGAGAATGCAGAGACAAAATAAAAATCTTTATATTCCTCCTTCCATTACAATAATGATCTTTAACATGGAACATAAAGAAAACTCTCACCACCTCTCCCCTAGCCCCCCCAAAAAGAAGTAAAATGCTTAAGGACATCAGAGACACTGACATTCTGGGGCATAGTTGGTCCCACCATTTTACCACAGAGAACTCCCATTTTTTGATTGATGAAGTATCCAGGGTCCTGTACTTATCATCAGAGAAGGAAACTAGCAGAAAAGGAAAATCTGTGAAATGCTTCTTCTAACTTAAGACTAAAGAAGACATGTTTCTCCATACACCCAAATCTCCTTGACTTTGTTAAAGAGAAGGCTCACCCAGTAGCACTCCATCTTTTCCAAACTGTAAACTGTATCTTGCCCAAAGAGACATTTGAAGAATGGATTCCCAATGTGAACTTGTCAGCCTTCAGTATTAAAGAGAGCTCTATTTGCTTTCCATGAACAGTGGCCATCAAGAATCTGTTATTGGCGGGTGGATACCCATTTTAAGAATGACTAAGAGCTTGTCTCAAAATGTATTTCAGTCAGCATAGCCTCAGCATTTTGCTCTCAAGGAAACAGACTACTAGAAGTCAGATGACAGAACAAGGAGAAATGGTCTCAAGTTGCAGTGGGGGAGGTCTAGGTTGGATATTAGGAAACACTATTTCACTAGGAGGGTGGTGAAGCACTGGAATGGATTACCTAGGGAGGTGGAGGAATCTCCATCCCTAGAGGTTTTTAAGGCCCAGCTTGACAAAGCCCTGGCTGGGATGATTTAGTTAGTGTTGGTCCTGCTTTGAGCAGGGGGTTGGACTAGATGCCCTCCTGAGGTCTCTTCCAAACCTAATATTCTATGATTCTAAGTCAAATCTAGAACAGGGGATACCTAAGAAGTAATGCAGAAGGAGGAAGAACTTGGAGATTTGCCAGTGTGCCACAAAGTATATCCACAAAGTTGCCTTCAACTTAGTCTTTGTCATTAGCTCTCCTTACTAACAAAGACAGGAGGGCTATATGGCTTTATTCATAGCAACTGGATGTCCAGGCCAAACAGACTTTTATTGTACTACCTTTTCCAGGCCAGTACTTTGGGAACAACTTAGACAAGGACCTAAAAGATAATGCAGAACAGAAGGCCTATGTCCCAGAAAAGAAACACCCTTAGTCTTCCTCTCAGAATTTTGTTGATTTGGCTGCTCTCCAGCAAAGTCCAAGGTTAGCTCTTGTTTCAAGTTGGCCTTCTCATTCAAGTTGTCCAGAGGCTGAGAACTACAGAGGCCTCCAACAGTCTTCTCGAGAGGGCCGCCTCCAGGATTTTGGCCGCCCCAAGCAGCCAAAACAAAAACAAAACAAAACAAAAAGCCGCAATCGCAATCTGCAGCAGCAATTCAGCAGGAGGTCCTTCGCTCCCAGGCGGAGTGAGGGACCGTCCACCGAATTGCCGCCGAATACCTGGACATATGCCGCCCCTCTCCGGAGCGGCCACCCCAAGCACCTGCTTGACAAGCTGGTGCCTGGAGCCGGCCCTGGTCTTCTCACATCAGAATATCAGCAGATCCCCTTCTCTCCCAAAAGACAAAATTCATTACTTCAAACAAAGGGGAGAAATCCACCAACAATTAGTGTGTACCATCTAGTTTCAGATAGGCTGTATGTAGAATTCTTTCAACTTCCACTCTAATGCATTTCATCACTTCACCAATTCGTTCAAACTTAAAACAAAATAAGATATTGCTGGCAGACATTAGGCACCTGGTCAACATTCAAGCAATAAAGCAAGTTTTGATGTCAGAAAGATTCCAAAGAATGTACTAATCCTGTTTGCCCTCTCCAGTAGATCAAAAGTGAATAATGTTGTCTAACTATGCTCCCATTTAAGTCAGTGGGAGTTTTACCACTGACATCAGTGGGAGCAATTAAACCAATTCTAAGCACTTTTAAGAATTCCACCCCGTAGTCCTCTTGGCTATAGATCTCAAATGGATAAATTCTTTCATAGCTTGTAGGTAGGAAGGGATAGCTCAGTGTTTTGAGCATTGGCTTGCTAAACCCAAGGTTATGAGCTCAATCCTTGAGGGGGCCATTTAGGGATCTGGGGCAAAAATCTGTCTGGGGATTGGTCCTGCTTTGAGCAGGGGGTTAGACTAGATGACCTTCCAACCCTGATATTCTATGATTCTAGTTCAAGATAGAAACACGTAGCAGCAATGGAACTGGAAAATTTCCTTGTACTCATCAATTTTAAAGATGCCTATGTTCATATTCCAAAAGTGGAGTCTGAATCATTGCCCATTGATATTTC